TTTTGTGCGGCTATTTATATTAGTAAACACTGAGATTCACTGTAAGTAACACCCGTTAATATCTGATAGAACGGTGGCAATTAATCTTGTTAAAACGTGGATTTACCGACGTTTCGAGATCCATCACTGACCTGTCATGTTTTAATTGAATATGTGCTGGAACTGAGATTGGAAATGTGGAAATTTTATTTGCAGTTGAATTCAGAGTGTGGGTTAATTAGAACAACGATCTGGAAAAATTTAATGATGGCTAGAGGAAAGGAATTGTTTTTACTCACAGACGCTGGAAAAGATGTAGGAACAAATAAATACATTTAACTATCAAAAATAAAAACTTAACATATGTAAATGATAAATACAAAATTATTATTTAACATAAAATATTGTCACTGAATTATACTGAACAATTATACTGGAATTAAAACAAATTTCCTTAAGAGTTATCTTATTTTTAGTTAATTGTGGATCATTGTGACATATGAACTCATTTGTTTTCAAGTCTTGTTCCAGTTAAATTCTCACTAATTCAGTGGCTAGAATGTTGTCATACAAAATATTACAAAAAATTCAACAATAAATATATAACACACGTCAGGCTTAATGCTGAAGTTTGGTATTGACTCGACTTTAGTTATATCAGTGTATGCAATTTATTCTTCCGATGTGGATGGATAGTCTTTTATGCCATATAACTTACTTACTACTCCCCTCAAAATTATGCATTAACAGTGTAAATGACCCTAATGCCATTAATATGTTTTCAGTGATGAGAGTGAACATTGAAATCCAGACTTACAAATCTTCTCCTTTTTTTTTTACCTACAATGCACCATTAAGTAATGTTCGTTTGAACATCTTTTTATATGTTGTGCCAACTTTGTTTTGTGTCCCTGTGACGAAATGTAGAAAGTCGGTAACTTTCTTAGGGCTCTATCCAGGAGGAACAGCTTTTATTTTATATTCATTCGAGAGAAACGTACTATTTATAAGCTTTCTGGACATCCGTGTTCCTGAGGGTTTTTTAATACGTGACGTATGTTTTTGGCTAACTCTGAACGTAATTTTTGAAGTATAAATAATCGGTATTTTTCCGAAAACCAGCAACGTAGCCCGTTCATGTGTTGTTAATGTAGGAGTCTACACCCAGACGCTAAAAGGGTTACTGCATGTTTACTGAGTCAGTCGGGAGTTGTCGACAGCGCATGGACTTAAAGGTTAGGGTTGACAGCATTTTACTAAAATATTCTGCGACTTATGACTTTACAGGAAAGAAATATTCGAATTGAACTAATTATATTTTACGGTTAGCTATCTCTGATCTAGGGTAGAAAATCCATAAACTGTCAAGGACGTTTCTACGAAGGTAAAATGTGTTATGAAGGAGGAATACGAGTGGCGGCTTCACGAACTGAATAGTGATATTTTGTCACGTGACGTAAGCTGAGAA